CAACTGATTAAGTCAGTCGTTTGGCTCCAGGCTTTTCCTGGTACCCAGCAGGCTAAATCACCTGGCATTGATTACCAACCCACCCGACCACGTTTGCTTGTCCAATCCCTGCTGCTTCCTGCTTTATCTTTACCCAGCACTTAGGGGTTCAATGACACAAGGCTGTCTGGAGCTGGTCTCTGTGACAGCGGCTGTGATTTCACAAGGACTGGGGTGCTCCAGGGTGGACTGGTTGGTGGGAAGCGGGAAGGAGCAGATGTGAAGAGACCCTCCTGTGCGTAGCTTCAAATCAAACCTGGGGAGTAAGGCTCCAGGCAGGAGCGCAGCAGGTACGTGGCCCCCATGGGTGCCCTGCTCCTCAAGGCAGCACCAAAACTAGGAAGGGGAAAGGCCTGCAGATGTCTTTTGTGTCCCTGCCACTTCTCCATGGCGCATATGTTGAGGCCACACTGGAGGCTATGACCTTGAATATACTTCTGGTGTCCACTTCAGGATCTCTCACATACCTGCCTCTCCCTGGCCAACACCCATCAACGGTGGAGGCTGCCGCTGGCCCACGTGCACCACCTGAGCTGCCGCCACCTCTCTGGCACCTTGGAGAGGCTTTGGCTGACCTGGGGTGGGGGGGGGGGCACCTGGAGCAGAACCTGGGCGCTGCTGCCTGCTGGCCAGATGCCCATCCTCATGATGCCAGGTGGTGCCCTGCATCACACTTTCAGCATGACCCTTAAAGGGCGTTCAAGAATCTGAGCCTTCCTGCACACCGCACGCACTGTTGGCTTCTCCAGTATTCCAGCTCATAGACCAACCCCTTCCTCCCACGCCTGGGAAGTGGAGGAGCCGGGGTGGGAAGCCCAGCCCTTCCTACTCAGGCTTTCCTGGCCCTTGGACTAGCTGGAGAAAAAGAACCAGGTGGCCTTGCTTCAGTACTCCTGGTACAGCTCCTAACTCACCTGAAGGCACTCCTCCCCAAATACCATCTTTAATAGGGGCCACAGCTGCCCTCTCCCAAACCCTCAGCTCCCCCACTGTAGGTGTCCTACTTGCCATGACAGTGAAATCATAAGGTCCTCTAAGGCCCCCACCCATGTGTCAACGACCGGTTTGTCTCACAGAGTGTGCACTGACCGGCGCCATTGCCCCCAACGTGAGTCAGTGGTCCTTGGAAGGATCAGAAGTGGGGTGTAAAAATGTCTGAATCCCAACCCCATTTCAAGCCTCCCAGGATGCAAGGGGCAAAGGGTACCTCCGCCAGTGCAGAGAGTCTGCACTTATGTGATCAGAGCCTTCAGCTGGCCTGGGCAGCGTTATTTTTGAACAGGTGGTGAGAAGGGGCTGAGGGCAATGGTGCAGCAAGAGGGCAGTGCCCCTGAGAGATGGTCTCTTCCTCTACTGGCTCTCCTTCAGTGCCACTTGACTGGAACCCTGGTGGGTATGGTCTGTGCACAGGGACCGATCCAGAAGTTAACTTACCCCAAGACACCTCCTATGGCCCCAACCCCGCAGAGAAACTGAACCTCCAGCTCCTCCAAGATCAGCATAGGCCAGTGCTCCGTAGCCCTGGCTCCTGGGATTACTTGGGAAGGCAGAGAACAGAGCCACTCCTGGGTGGGAAGAGGAGACACCATTCTGAGTGGGGAGTGGCAGAGGCCGGAAGGGGGTGCCACTGTAAGGGTGGCCCGGCTCAGTGACCCGCTCACCTCCAGGACTGCAGACGCCACCAGCGCGGTCACCACAGACGTGGCTCCACGCACACTCACCTCACCTCACCGCTTTCTCGGCCGGCCGGCAGCTCAGACCAGTAGAGACGCCACCCCACCCCCGCCCCTGCAAAAGCCCAGTCCCAGGACACGGGGTGGAGTGAGGCGGAGGCCGCCTCTCCTGCATTTCCCCACTCACACTCCACTCCCACCGCCCGGCGTCCAGCTCCGGGGCGCGCAAGGGTTAACCTCGCAGGGGTGGGGACTTCGGCGCGATCCGCGCTGGGAGGGAGGGGAGAGGACAGGAGAGGAGGCGACGAGAGGCGCAGGGGTCAAGCCTCAGAGTCTGTCGGAGCCTCGGGTGTCTCAGGCCACCGGGCAGCCACTGGGGCACACGGTGCGGACCCCCTGCCCCAAACTTCAAGTCGGGAGTGGGGGGAAAGACGCTGGGCATCAAGACGGGTGGTCGCCTGTCAGGATGCCGCCCCCCTCTCCAGGGGCCGCTACGTCTACCCCACCTCTGCCGTTCCAGCCCCTGCTCCGGACACTTTACTGCTTTGGGTCCGGGATGAAGCCCGGAGGCCCCACGACGACCCCGGAGTTCGAGTCGGCCGACGTGGCCCTGGGTCCGCCGCGGCCCTGGGCCTGCCCGGCTGACGTGCGGCTCTGCGGCCACCTGCGGAAGCAGAAGTCCCAGCGCCGCCGCTTCTTTGTGCTCCGCGCCTACCCGCAGCGCCTCGAGTGTTACGAGAGCGAGAAGAAGTTCCGCGCCGGCCGAGCGCCGCCTAAGTTCAGCGTGAGCCTGGAGGGCGCGTGCACCATCAGTAAGCGCGTGGACGCGCGTCAGCGACACCTGATCGTCCTGTACACGCGCGACCGCAGCCTGGGCGTGGCGGCGGCCAGCGAGGCGGAGCAGCAGGCGTGGTACAGCGCCCTGCTCCAGGCGCGCGCCGCCGCCGCCGGTGAGGCCCGAGCCCCGGCGGGGGGGGGGGGGGGCGGGGGGGGGGGGGGCCCCCGGGCCGGGGGGGCCCGCCGCCGCGGGGGGGGGGCCCGGGGCCGGGGGGGGGGGGGGGGGTGCGGGGGAGGTGGATGATCGTGGATTTGGTTTATCCGTAGTCTGTCCCTTCCCCCGCTCTGCGAAATCAAGACCAAACGTGAAGGGTTTACACGTTTTCAGTTCCCGGGCCACAGTGAATCCAGCCTGCCGGCCCGGGAGCCCCTGTCACCAGACCATTGTCTCTCCAGGTCCCGACTCCCACGAGGACCCCGGGGCCTGGATCCTCGCTCCGTTTCAGGACGTCTGGCCCGTGACGCTGCGGCCCAAGGGGCTGGGGCGGGCACGAGGCCTGGGCAGCGGCGACTACTGCCTGTGCCTGGGTTCTGGGGTACTGAGCCTGCTGCGGAAGCCCGGGGGCAGAAGCTCCAGGGCCTCCCGGCCATCTCCGCCGCCGGCCCTGCGCTTGTCCCTGCTCAGCGTGCGCCGCTGTGGCCATGCCGACGCTTTTTTCTTCCTGGAGCTTGGCCGCTCGGCACCCACGGGTCCCGGGGAGCTGTGGCTACAGGCGCCCGACGCCGTCGTGGCCCAAAGCATTCACGAGACTGTCCTGGCCGCCATGAAACGAATCGGGGACAGTGGTGCCGGCGGCAGGGCTGAGCCACTGCCAAGAAAGCCCCCGACGAGCGCCTCCACACCCTCTGTCCCTCAATCTTATGAGACCCCAGCCTCTGCGGCCCAATCAAGCAGCCTGTACCGTCCGGGGCGCCTGAGTGAGAGAAGCGAGCAAGCAACCCTCAAGACCCTGGCCAGGCCGGGGGCAGCAGCCTCACACCCCGAGGGGTTGGAGCTGGGCGGGGTCTACATAACCAAGGGAGCCAGGAGTGACTACGAACCCATGGGAGGCGGCCAAGCCAGTGGCTACGTGGTGATGGCAACCCCGGGCCTTCCTGCCTCAGCCAAAGCCGCTTCCCACCAGCTGCTCCAGGATGGAGGGATCACTGAATATGTGTCCATGAGCCTCTGTGCACCACGGTCCTTTTCCTCGAGCTTCTTGCCTCTTTCCTACAGGCCTGGGGCCGGGGAGCCTGGACCCGGGCTCCAAGGCCCTCATCTAGGCGTGGGAGACGACTGGGGATCCGCAGGGGCTCAGCGCTGCTTGCAGCCGCCGTCAGAGTTAGCCGGGGAGTACGTGTGCATTGAGTACGCGGCCGCCGACTACATAGGAATGGGCACTGACATCCCCGAGCCCCCTGACGGCGGCCTCAACTATGTAGACCTGGACCTGGTCCCTCCCCTGGAGGTGCAAGGCGACGCCCCCGGGGCCAGGAACCGCCCACACAGCTACGCACACATCGAGTTCCAGAACCTCGGGGAGGCCCCGGTGAGGAGACCCCCGTGGCCCCTGGGTATAGCTGATGGATGGAGAGACAGACGGGAGTGGAGGAAGAAAAAAAGGGCAAAGTTAAGAATGCCTTCCTGCCCACCCCGCTGAACCCCATAATCCCCTTCTGCCCGATGGAGAGGCTCTACAGCCCAGATGTCTCCTAGGACGTGTGACCAGCAGAAGCGCTGAGCTGCCCCTTAGGACGGGCTGCCTAAGGGCTCTGCCCCTTCCAACTGTGGCACCTGTGAAGTCTTCGGGAGGAGGTTCCCCAAGAAGTTGGATTCTTTTAAGGGAGAAAATTCTAGAACTCTTCCCCCCTTAAAACAAAACCCCTACAAATTTCTGGACCTTCTCAGCCAAAGCCCTGACCCTCTGTTTCCCCACAGAGTTCCTGCAGCATCGCTCCAGAGTCTCAAGTCAGCCTTGGCCCCACACCCTGCCTCCAATGATGACGACCACGAAGACAGAGATCTACCCCTCCCCACACACACACACACCTGCTGTGCTTGCCTGGTGTCGGCTGAACTCCTGGGACCCCAGAGCAAGAAGGATGAGAGCAACAGGTCTCTTACACTAGTGCCCTCCCGAAGTGATGACACCCCCTACCCCCTACTTTGCCTCTCCCAACGCCAGCTACGTGCTCACACAATTCTCCTTCTCCCGGGCCTGGCAGAACTGATGGAGTCCTTGCTTCTAATATACTTAATCTAGTCTAGGGGTCTATACTGTGCACCCCACCCCCATTAAAGTTTCCCTGCTGGGTGAGCCTGGAAAAGTCTTAGGTCCATGGATTCCCCTGCCCGACTGTAGGGGGAATGAGTAACAAGAATCTGAGGGGAGAGCAACCAAAGCCGTCGTGGAAGAAGAGACCCCATCCCTGCCTCCTCGCCCCACTCTGCTATCTGCCACAAGGAGCCTGTTTGCAAACCAACACTGTTTATTGTCAACAGAATCTGCCTGGGGAAGTAAGGGGCCCACTCTCCCCCAGAGGGGCTATGGACCTTGGCTGTCTGGGGCCCGTGGGAGAGATGGGTCCATGCAGTGAGAACAGCTCTGGCCACCACTGGCACCTGGGTGGTCAGAGGCAGGGTCTGGGGGGCCAGCAGGGGGCATGGGAGCCCCCGGGGAGCTGGGTCTTGGCTCCCCCTGGCTCATCTGCAGGAGGCCAGTGAGGGCGATCAGCTCAGGCCCACTGAGCCAGGCGGTGGAGCAGCCAGAGGATGGAGCGGGGAGGACCCTGGGGGACATGACTGGGGGTGGGAGCAGCAGCTTCAGAGAGCCCATCACCTGAGGAGAAAGGAGAGGCAAGTGTCTCCCCCCAAGCCCTGCGTGAAGGCTGGGGTGAGGCCAGGGCAGGAAGAGCGCTCACCTGCTGACGGGCCTGAGACCGGTACAGGGGAACACGCTGCCCACAGGGCAGCACATGGTCAGAAAGAAAGACATCTTCACGGCACATCACCGGGAACCCTGGGGAGGAGAAGCTGCTAGGGTGGCAAGCGCTGCACTGGTTCTCCACGGAGCCTGAGGGGACCAAGGGCCATACCTGCATCCCTGGGCACCTGCTCTCCACTCTGACGTCCTGCTAGGCTGGGCCTGAGGCCTCTGCCTGAGGCTGCCTCGTACAGAGGGCAGAATGAGGGATGGCGCAAGGTCCGGCCTGAGAAGGAGGTGCCTGACTCACAGCTGAGCCCCTGTGGAGGGATGGGAAAGATTCCTGGCGCTTCAGCCCCCTCCCAAGGCATCCCTGCCCCACCCGAGGCTGGTGCCACAGGTACCCCCAACTCACCCACACCAGCTGAGGTCCCGGTTTAGCTTCACAGTTGGGGTCCTGTGGCGCCAGCAGGGTCATCCTTGACGGGGCCACCTCCCAGGTCATCTGGGGGGGGGAGGGGAACTGGGGGGGAGGACTTGAAGAGATTAAAATCGGCTCAGGAGTCGGTAAAAGGGTCTTGGGGGTAAAGATGGCAGGACCCTGTACCTACCTGGGGTTCCCGGTGACCGCTCGGCAGCCAGGCCTGGGGGCGGCCGAGGCAGCTGCTGCTCTTTCTGGGTCCAGGAAGGCCTTTGGGACCAGGGCTGAGGACTGGGAAGGGGCGGTACTGAGATGCTTCGGTCACAGCCTCCCGCAATCACCTCCCTGCTCCAAGTCTGAATACTTCCAAGGCCGGGCCAAGGGTGCCCGGTGCGGGGAAGCTGATCATACCCTTTCTTCGCTACTAGGGACAACTGAGGTATTCTCACACTGTGGGCCCCCGTCGGGTTTCGCCCAAGTGCCGCTGGCAGAGCCCCTCACCTGTCCTGTGGGGTTGTTCTTGGCTCCCGCAGGGCTTCCTCTCCAGAGTCCCAGGCCTGGCCGGGGTCGCTGCCCGCCGAGGGGCCTTGTTCCTCGGGCGCCTGCTCCTCACCCGCGCCCCACCGCCGGGGGGTCCAGGGCAACATGCCGCGTCCACGGGGAGGGCAGGTCAGGGCCCCGCGCCGCCCGCCTGGCACCTCCCGGCTCCCACTCGGGCGCAGCCTCCCTCAGCGGCCCGCGCTGCCCTGCGCGCCCAGCTTGCGGCCCACCTCTCAAGGCTTCGCGGCGCAGGCGTCCAGCGCGTTTCCGGGCCACGTGGCGCACGGTCCCGCCGGGAGCCCGCGAGCGCCTCCTGGCGGCGCGGACAGCGGGGCCGCACGGAAGGGTGAAAACGGCCAGAGGGAACTGCGGCGCCCGCACGTGGAAGCTACACCGTCCCCAGCACACACCGCTCGTTCGCAGACACACACACACACACAGCTAAGGGGCAACCTAGAGGGCTTCCGGCTTCCGTTTATTGCACGTGACACGACACCCAGCCCCCAGTCTTCCATCCCATACCCTCGACCACGCCCAGAGGCGGCCTCGCGCCTTGCTGGGCCAGCCTGCTTCCAAGCTCCCGGGCAGACAGGTGCCCGAGGCACAGGGCCAGGCCCGAGGCCGCCCTCACCAGTCCTCGCTAGAGAGCAGAACCCAGGTGTGGCTGTCTTCTCTGTTCCTGGGGTTCCCGCCGGGTCGGGCCCCTGCACCCCGACCTCAACCCCTAAGGCCGTTCCAGCAGTGCATGGATGACAGCAGCGATGTAGGGGAGGCCCCTTCCCGGGGCCCCCTCCTCTTCCAGGATGTGGTGGGGCTGGCACAGGGACTCCTACAGGGAGGGGCCCAGGTTAAGTTCCCCTTGTCACCTCCTCCTCTCAGCTGTAGGGTGGGAGACACCCTAAAGGAGCCTGGGCAAAGGAAGCTGACAGAATGTAGCAGGCAAGGGTCAAGGGCACCCTGGACATGGCTTGGGGACAAATGAGATGCAAGGAAGCTGCCAGAGGATAACAGAAGGGAGATGACACAGGGGGCCAAGGCTCAGAGGGAAGGACAGACCTGCCATTTCCAGAGGGAAATGCTGGAGTAGGCAAGCTGGCACATAGAGCCCAGGAGACATGGCCAGGGATGGGCCCCCGGCACAGCAGGAGCAGACGCAAACACACACACACACACACACACACACACACACACGCACACGCGCACACACACACGCACACACACGCACACACACGCAGCCACGGTCTGTACAATTTATACAAGAGACAGAGACCCAGCCTGGGCCCCTGCATCCCCTACAAATATAGAGTTCTCTCTACAAAATATAGATAATTTAGCCCCCTATAGCAGCTGGGGGGGGGATGGTGCAAGAAGGAAGGTTAAGACCCACCCTCTAGGGAAGCAGAGGGCAGGGCAGGGAGAGGACTTAAAAGGCACCATCAGCACTGAGAAGGGAGGGGCTACAGGAGGGTGGCCAGAGGCTGGGGACCCAGGGTCTGGGGGCACCAGAGTGGGGCCTCTGAGGTCAGTGTTTATGAGGGGAGGGGGGTTCACTAGTGTCTTTGGTAGGGGCTGAAGGCACCACCGGCGGGGAAGGGGGTTTGCACAGGAGTCTTATAAATAGAAGTAGGGCAAGGGGGTAGGGGGAGGGGTGACGTCAGGTCCTAGGAACCCAGGAGCCGAGTGTAGACGACACAGAGCAGCAGCATGAGGACCACGTAGAAGAGGACGAAGCCTCCCAGACCAGAGGGGGGCCAGAGGGGCGGGGGGGACCTGCCCCCCGCCCGCTTCACAGCCTCCAGGGTGGTCCACAGCCCCTGGGCAGTGCCCTGGAGGAGATCCGAGGGCGAGCACAGGTCAGCCTGGGAAGGGAGAGTAGGTCAGATGGACAAGGACAAAGGACGTCAGCAGCAGCAGCAGCAGCAGCAGGACAATCCTTCCCACCCCCTGCCCTCACGTGCCAGGGCCAGAGCCACGCCGACATGCAGAGTGCAAGGAAGGGAGGCATGCAGGGGAGACATGCGGGACAGGGGCTGGCGGATGTGCTTCCTGTTGAGAAGCAGACACCCCCGTGAATGGAACCCTGCCATCCATGCAGGGTGCCCCGCTGAGCCCAGGACACTGCACCCTTTATAGGAGAGACCAGCCCTGGGCCCCTGAGAACACACCCCCATACCTCAGGCACCCCCATTTTTCGACAAGCTTCTAAGAAACTCTCCACATTCTTCCGAGACTTGAGGGCACTGAGTTTTGGCTGGGGGTGGGTAAGAAAGGAAAAAGAGAGTAAGGGGGAGGCCCCAGGAGGCCCCGTCCCAACCCCTACTTCCTGCCTGGGCCCCAACTGACCACAGCAGGTGAGGGCACGTGAATGAAGGGCACGGAGCGGGGCCGCAGCTGGTTGGCCAGCTGACAGAGGATGACCCCATTGGCTAGAGCCTCTGCCAGGTCATCGGGTAGGGGCCGCTGCAGCTGGGACTCAAGCACCTGGGAGGCAGGGGAAGGAGGGGGAAAGGTCAGGGTCAGCAGGGAACGCCCTCCTGCCCCTTCCATCTCAGGGGAGGTACCAGGGTAGGCAAAAAGGCTGTTGAGGGAAGCCGGGAACCTCCAGGCACCACGCGGAGCCCAGGCTCCACCCACGCAGACCCCACCTCTCATACCTGGCGCAGCTGAGCCATCACCTCCTTTTCGTCCAAAAGCTGGGGGGATCGCCGAGGTCTCAAGACAGAGTCCGGTGAGGAAGGGCCTGGAGAGAGAGGAGGGTGTGGGGCCGCCTCCACTACGCACCATTGACTTTGCAGCCCGGTCGCAGGGTCTGGCACCCACATCACCTGCCTCTGCGCTTGTGGGATTTTCAACACAATGGGACAACTGACCAGAGAACTCCCAGGCCAGAAGGGACGGCCCCAGCGCCGGGGTTAGTGCTGGATTAGCACCGGGTTAGTACTGGGGAGGAGGGAAGACCCACCTGAGCTGCTCTGAGAGGAAGAACGGAAGAGGAAGCTGTTTGGTCTCTGAATGGAGCTGAGTGGCCGGGGAGCAGGTGCGGTTGCTGGAGGCCGGAGCCAGGGGGCAGGAGAAGCATCCCCTCAGTGTCCTATTCCTCCCTCAGGCCACCAGGTCTCAACTCCCCCCACCCCCGCCCCACCTACACAGGCCCGCACCCTCCTCCCAGCGCCGCCGTCCCACCTGGTCCCGCTGTAGGAAGGGGCTCCTGGGAGGTGGAGGCGGGGGTGGGAGCACCCTGCCCCCCCGAAGCTCCCAGCTGGGTGGCATTGGACTTGGGCGTGCCGCTGAGGAGAGACAGAAGGGGAATCGAGGGGATGCTCAGGGGAAGGGCGTGTAAGGCGAGGACCGAGAGAGGCGGGGTCCAGGAGGACACATACTTGTAGGTGGCCTGAGCGGACGAGGCGGCAGCACCCCCGCCAGAAGCCCTGACCCCCAGCTTCGGAAAACTAGAAAATGAAGGTGTGGGGTCAGCAGTGCCAGGCGGGGCTCCGCCAACCCCGAGAGGCAGGGAAGCTCAGGAGGCCTCACCGCCAGGGCAGCTGCTCCCACGCCCACACCTGTCCTTCCTTGGGGAACCCCACACTCCACTCTGCTGCTGCTGCCGCCGCTCGCGCTCCTGCCACAGCTGCAAGGTGTCTGGGCGCCGCCTCTCCTCCCCTGCCGGCTCCTCCCGCCTGCGGGGCAGAGGCAGGATGAGAGGTGGAGCGGGCCGGAGGAGAGGACAGGGGGGCGGGCGATGAAGTAAGTAAAGGGAGGAGGCGCCGCCTCAGGTGGCTCCGGGTACCTGCTGCTTGGTGCCCTCTCCCCATCCCCTGCCACAGGGCTCGATTCTGGTGGCCGCTGCTCCTGAAGAAAGAACAGCAGAGGGGCTGAGGGGGTTGCCCGAGCCTGCACTGGCTCCCCTCCTCCAGCTCTCTCATGGTGGATGGACAGGCGGACGCGGGCTCCCCTCACCTCGCCAGCACCTCGCTCTTCGTCCTCCCCAGGGACGTGGCTGTCGATGAAGTCAACCTGCTCAGGGTCTCCGTCAGCTGGAGAGAGCAGTGCGCATCAGCGAGCCAATGCGGGCGTTAGGCCCTCGTCCATGCCCCGCCCCCCGGCCCCTAGCCCGTGACCCCACTACACACCAGAGCCATCCTCCCGCCGCTCCCTGGGTCCCCGAGGCTCCCGGGCCAGCTCTGAGATCCGGAACGACAACTCGGAAAATTCATCAGTTGACTGTAAATGCAGAAATGCAGAGATAGGAGACAGCCTCTCTGGAGTCCCGGGGCCCATGGGGTTCAGGGCCCCAGGCTCTGCTGCTGAGCCAGCCCTTCCCCGCGAGACACTTGGGCGAGCGAAGGAAGAGGACTCCAGCCACCACCAGTCACTCAGAGCTTCAGAGGTAGTAGGCGAAGGGTCCCGGCTCAGAGGTTCTCCCCTGGGGCTGAGATCCCCCATGATCCTTGGAAAGGAGGCCCTTACCTCATTTCCAGACCACCTCTTGCTGCCACTGTCAACGCTGTGGAAGCCTGAGTCCAGCCCTCCGTCATACCGACGTCCCGGAAACAAGTCCTCAGCGGGGCTGGGGCCAGCCAGGGAGAGCTGGTCAGCTCCATTCTGGGCAGCAACCCCGTCATCCGCCCTCCAGAAACCATGGGGTCCCTGGTGCTAGGAAGGGGTTTAAGTATCCAGGGGCTTCCTTCCTTCCCACTTGAAACTTACCAGGGGCTGAAACTCGGGGGGCCGGAAGGGGCCAGGTCCCCCAGTGCAGACCCCCCGCGCCGCCCAGCCTCTGTTGACAAATACTTGAAGATGTGAAGTTTCCCCTTCAGGCAGATCTAGATGTGGAGGCGCATGGGGGGTAGTTAGGGGAAGAGAGGGGGGCCTCCCAGATCCTGCTTGGCTACCAAAGGGACCTATGCCCCCAACTCCTGCCCATTCTCGGGCCCGTCCTCACCTGTGCAGGCGGGCTTTGCAGGGGGTTGCTGTCCAGCAAAATGACCTGCAGGTGCCTAAGGCGGCAGAAGGAGACCGGGATGCGGGAGACACGGTTACAGGAGAAATCCAGGCGGACAAGAGGAAGGTCTCCCAGCTCTGGCGGTGGGTGAGGGAAGAGTTAGAAGCATGCCCCGGCACGGGGCCTTGTGC